TCAAGGTCTGGGACTTGTTAGAATGACCTGTTAGCTTGTGAGAGTCACCATACACAGGCTGGGCCTCTGACCCAGAGTAATCCCATGAAGCCACAGTGCTCTGACTGCTCTGCACTCTGGCAAGTTCCTGTCAATGCTTTATCTGAGTATAGAAGACTGGACTGGGAAGAAGGGACCTGTCCCTTGCGAACAGCTACTGCCTGACCAGCCATGAGCTTATATTTTTCTGTAGTTTGATAGATAACCTCTGGTCACAGCTTGCGATTGTACCCAAGCCCAAAGCATTCACAGTCCTGTAGAACCAGCTTCGTGGGTTCTCAGTTAAGGAAGGAAGCATTCCTGGTATGCAGTGAGCCATGGCTTGGCCTTCCAGAGACAGGGTACTAGGAGTCACTGGGATGCTGTATCCTGACTATTTAATTTAAAATCTTTTCAACTTTTAGAAGAATGATAAGAGCAAAACAAATACATTTATTTATTTGTTAATAAATATATAAATGCAGTTAGCAAATTGCAGCATATGTGTGTATGTGTGTGTGCATGCCCAAAACATGTGTGTGCACTTGAGTATGTATGTGTGCGTGCGCACATGTGTAGTTTGTTTGTTTGTTTGTTTTATTTTTGTAAATTGTATTTATTTTAAATTGTATTTCATATGTATTAGTGTTTTGCCTGCATGTATGTCTGTGTGAGGGTGTTGGAGTCTCTGGAACTGGAGTTACAGACAGTAGTGAGCTACCATATGGGTGCTGGGAATTGAACCTGCGTCCTCTGAATGTATAGCTAGTGCTCTTTTTTTTTTTTTTTTTTTTTTTGGTTTTTTGGTTTTTCGAGACAAGGTTTCTCTGTATAGCCCTGGCTGTCCTGGAACTCACTCTGTAGACCAGGCTGGCCTCGAACTCAGAAATCCGCCTGCCTCTGCCTCCCAAGTGCTGGGATTAAAGGCGTGCGCCACCAACGCCCGGCTAGCTAGTGCTCTTAACCACTAAGCCATGTCTCTAGCCCTTCCTTGTATGTTTTTATTGCTGGGGATTTTGTTTGCCTCTTTTGGTTGACCATATAAAAATGAGTTGTGAATATAATGACATTTGACTCTAAACTTTGCGATTTGTTTGAGGCTGGATCTCACGTAGCACAGGCTAACCTAGAATTCACTATGAAAAAGGGGATGTCCTTGAAATAATGATCCTCCTGCCTCCTCCTGAGTGGCCTAGATTCTTAAATACTCGGTGGTCCCTTAGCCTGAGAGCCTTCTCATACGTAACCACAACAGTCTTGTCACTTGCAATAAATTTAGGATGGATGCAATGTACTATCTAACATAAACTGCTTACATAGCTCCCCAAGCTCCAACCTCAGACCTGAGCCAGAATCACACAGTACTGTCAGCTGTCATGTCTCCTTCAAAGCTCAGCCTAGACTAGCTCCTGAGTCCTTTCCCATGCTCCTTTGTACCAGGTGTTCTGGATTATGTCTTAGCACAGCCATGCCTCCTCCTCCTCTGTGCTGAGTTGAAAAATCTCGAAGTAGCTTACAGAAAACGTAAGGCAGGGCTCCTAACAGAGACCTCCCTGTGTCTGGTGGCTTATCTGAGGTAGCACAGGACAAGATGCAAGGGTCCGTGACACGGTGGACGATGCCTTTTCAGACATGTGCCTGAGGGCGGTCCCAGCCTGGTGCTAGGCTCTTCCGCCCACTCCCCTCGTAGGCTCCCCATCTAGCTGCTCCAAGGTCAGTTTTAATTAAGGAACCCATACTTGCTTCTTTTCTCCCTCCCTCCTTTCCGTCCTTCCCTTCTGATCAGGAGCACCACAAAGGCCTGTGAGTTTGTTCTAGAACATGTCATGTCACCTGAGCCCTTCTCCCTACCCTTGCAGAACCTGAAGCCACCTTCCAACCCATATCCTACACTCTCTTGCCTTTCTACGTCAAACCTTCCATACGACTGCCAGAATTTCCTTGTAGGCCCTTAAGTCAGGACCTGGAACTTGTCAAGGGCACAGAAGCAGGAGACACAGCTCCATGCTGCCCACAGCAGCCGGAGGAGGGCCCCTAATCTTTTAAGGGCCTCACCTCAGCCCAGACTGGAATGTGCAGCTTGACATAGACACAAATTTCAGGGTAAGCCGGATGAAGCAGAGTTGATCTTTTTATTATAAAGCATTTTAATATAGACTTTAACCATGAGGGTTAAGGAGTGGGGGTTGCTTAGAAATAAAGACAGATATACCAGATAGCACAGCTGTGGGATTCTCTGAAAGAGACTTACTTCATAGTCTTTATATAGTCATAGGTAGGACTCTGGTGAGATTTGAGACTATTATCTTCAAAGGGTTGCTTAGAAACCCAAATGAGATCACAGGATGGCTCCTGAGGGCACCTGATGGGATTGTACTCGATAAAGTCACAGAGATACAAGGAGGTAGGATGTCTTCTCTATGAGCAAAATTAACAGCCTTGAGATCCCCAGAAAATACCTTGGGAAAGGAGTGAGGCCCTGCCCAAGATCATAAGCATCCAGGCCTTAAACCAGAGTCACTGCTGTTAACATCAAAGGTCCATGTCTGAAAGGGACAGTGCCAGTGTGCCGTCAACTCCACAGCAAATGTTAATTGTGTGGGAATTCTCACCTCTCAGATGGAGAGACCTCAGCCAGAGTCCAGAGCAAGGGGTTCCTTCTCTTTACCATGTTCCCCAGAATTTTCCTTTCATCCTCAGCTCATTCTTGCTTGAGACCTTCCTGTGCTAAATCTTCTTAACAGGGTCCTAGGCCAGAGTCCTGACTCCCTACAGATGAGGACCCCTCCACCTGCCTGGGAGGGCAAACAGGACAGGCTCGATGCAGCCATATGGGGCACAGCAGAGAACAAGCGCCCCTGCCCCTCTGCAGGCTGCTGTCCTGAGATGCAGGCTTACATAGAGGAGGACACGTGATAGGTGATAGTCAGACCGCTCAGTTGGTCATCTTCTCAGCTCCTGCTCTGAGAGTGGTTCCAGGGATCCCCCACTGCTGCTCTGAGATCAGCTGAGCTCCTAGGAGACAACTGCTCCTGCACAGCAGGGAACAACAGCTTCTGTTTCTGTCACAGGTGCAGTGCTCCTGCATGGAGGGGTGGGTCAGTCTCATCATGGATGATGAGTCTGCTAGGATTTTTCTGGAATCCAGATTTAGGTCGTGAGTGGAGACTTCTGGGCGCTACTTTCAGGGTCTGTAAGAGGACAAGGAAACAGCAAAATTCCCTGTCACTCTTCTCTTGGAGACTTCAGCTTTGAAGGGAGGGGGGCAGGAAACGTTAGATAAGGAAAGGGCCGTTCATCCTTGTGTCAGAGTTTTTGGTGCCATTCTGAGTGGTTAATGTTACTCAGGCAGAGCTGAACACAGTTCTGAACCAAAGTTTTAAGACCAAGGAGACAGACACAGAATGGAAGCTGAGAGGCCAGGAATTATCTTGTTGTTGGTTCCATATGGGCCCTGCAGGTCCAAAGGAAGAGCTGATGCTCTTTAAGGACAGAGCCTCCAAGCCCCTGTTCCAATCTTGTTAGAAGAAAGTCCTAACTTCTCATCACACCCTATGGGGTTTCACCTCTGCCTGAACTTCTGCCCTGGTGCCTGCCACCTCGCTGGGTTCCCAGCCATCCCAGCCTTTTTGGTCTTCCTTGCCGTCTATAATTTGCTTTCCATTGCTGTGATAAAGACCACAGTCAAAAGAAACTTGGGGAGAAGAAGGTGTATTTGATCTTACAACTCTCAGGTCACACTCCGTTGGTGAGGGAAGTCGGGGCAGGAGCTCCATGCAGGAACATGGAGCCAGAACTGGGCAGAAGCCATGGAAGAAAGCTGCTTCCTGGCTTGCTCAGCCTGCTTTCTTATACATCCAGGACCACTTGCCCAAAGATGGCATAGCCTCCAGTAGACCCGGTCTTCCCACTTCAATTATTAATCAAAACAATACCCCCACCCCCAGACTTGTCTACAAGCCAGTCTGATGGAAGTACTTTCTCAATTAATATCCCCTCGTCCGGGATATGCCTAGTTTGTGTCAGCTTGACAAAAACCAGCCAGCGCATTCAGATTCTCCTACCCAGGACCCTGTCCCTCTACCCTAATCAGGTACCAGCACCAGTGTCACCTCCTCTAGGAAGCCTTCCCTGCCGGTACCCTGGTCATGCCCACCACACTGTGCACCATTTCTCCAGTCTCTTGTCCACATCTGTTACTTCCCCAGGGTCACTGAGTGTGTGCCTCCAGCACTTAGCCCCCTACCTGGTTCACAGATGCTACTGGGACACACAGGCTGGATGGATGAATCCCAGAGGGGAAGGTCAGGCCTGTGGTGGGGAGGGACTGGTTCCCATCTAGAAATCCAAGAGCACTAAGGAGAACAGCTCAATGGTCTCAACATTCACACAATACACAGGCTCTTGGGAAAGAAATCATAAAACGTGCTAGCAGCAGGCCCTGAGCCCCTCCCAGCTACACCCAGGCTCTCATACTTTTATCCTGCACAGGAATCCCCTGCCTTTTTTTATTATCTCTAAAGACAGTGGCTACATTGCTGCCTAAGTCTTACCTGCGCCTCTGTGACTTGAAGGTGCTTTCCCTGGCCTCGCCTTAAATGCCATAGATGCCACTGGAGCAATCCCTCCTTGTGGCTTCTCTTCCTCCATCTTCCATTGCGTCCTTTCCAGGGCTGTCACTCTCAGCTGCAGTGAGGCCCACCGGGTTCCTGATTTCACATGTCTGCTGCTATGGCAGACAAGACTGGTTTTCTGCCAGAAACGGTGCTCAGCCTCCTGTCTGAGTCTGATGGGCTTTCTCCCTGTATGTCTCAGTGGACTGCTGGGGCATGTCATATCTGCCCTGAGCCAGGCCCTATCACTGCCAGCGATGGGAAGGTATCGACCCAATTGATGCTATTGATTTCAGGAAATAGACAGACGGAAGCCCACTTGACTGGTCTTGGTGGCAGAGTTAATCCATGCTTGTTTGTTTGTTTGTTTTTTATATGGACTCCTTCAGAAATTTTTAAGTCATCCTTGCGCAGGGGCCCTGTTCATCTTCTGCGTATTTTTGCAGTGTTAGTGTATGTTCTGTGGAAGCAAGCATTCATGTTGTTTATTTGAGATGGAAGTCTTCCTGCTGTCCAGTCTGGCCTCAAACCTCTGCCTTGAGCAATCCTCCTGCCTTAGCTTCTGAAGTAGCTGAGACTACAGGTATACGCTGCCATGCTGGGTTTCAAATTGTAAATTTTTTTATAAAGTTTTTAAAAGAAACTATATTTATTTGTTAGTTAGTTAGTTAGTTAGTTAGTTAGTTAGTTAGTTTTTTAAGACAGGATCTCTCTATTATATAACTTTGTCTGTCCTGGAACTTGATATGTAAACCAGGCTGCCTTGAACTCAGAGATCTTATATAAGTTCTTCTGAAGTGTTGGGATTAAAGAGACACCCCACTATGCCCAGCTAATTTATTTCTTTTTTTTTGTTTTGTTTTTGTTTTGTTTTGTTTTTTTGTTTTTTGTTTTTTTTTTTTTGTTTTTTGGAGACAGGGTTTCTCTGTGTAGCCCTGGCTGTCCTGGAACTCACTCTGTAGACCAGGCTAGCCTCAAACTCTCAAACTCAGAAATCCACCTGCCTCTGCTTCCCAAGTGCTGGGATTAAAGGCATGTGCCACCACCACCCGGCTAATTTATTTCTTTTTATTTTATGTGTCTGAGTGTTTTGTCTGCGTGTCTGTGCACCACGTGCATGCAGTACCCATGGAGGCCAGAAGAAGGCATTTGATTCCCCAGAATGTTATCTCAGACACTTGTGAGCTGCCATCTGGGTGCGGGGAATCAAACCCAGGTCCTCTGGAAGAGCAGTCAGTGTTCTTAATCACTGGAGCCAAGTCTCCACCCATCCACCCCAAACTGTAAAATAAACGTGCGAGCAAGGCGTTGGGGCCTGAGGATCCTGGGTTTTCCTCTTGATCCTGTCCAATACTAGCTGGGCGATAGCAAAATCTCAAACTTCCACCTGTGTCACGTTTCCTGCACTAACTGGGAGGGGTAACTGGTGTGGTTCTCCAGGAATGCCTGCAGAGCACCCAGCACAGTGCCTAGAAAAATGCTGGAATTTCAGGTTGTAAAAGGTCTTAGCTCACTGATACCTTTGGCCCCAGGGGTGCTGACCTCCCTTGGTGGTCAAGCCCAAGCCCTTGATCTCCACTCATCCTCGTCCCCACCCCTGTCATCATTGTCCCATCCTGTCATCAGTGGCTCCTACCTAATTGGGAAACTCAACTCTAGGCCTTCCTGGGGACCACCTGGTCCCAGGGGAGAAATGTTTGGAAGGCTCCTTGGAGGTGAACTCCTGAGCTCATCCTGATTCTGGCCTTGACCAGAAAATCAACGGTGGCTGAAATACTCGGTTCAGCATAATGCTGGTTTTTGTGGGGAGCACGCTAGGGATGAACCCAGGGTCTCTGGTATGCTAATGCAAGCACTCTACCAGCAGGCTAGCCCCTCACACCCGGCAGGAGGCTGATATGTGTGGAGGAGAAAGAATGTTTCCTTTTCTCTCCCAGGCCCTCTATCTGGAGCTCACAAATTAAATTAACAAAAGATCAAAAGATCTCTCTCCCCTCTCTCTCCTCTCTCTTCCTCTTCTCTCTTCCCTTCTTTTGGTCTCTGTGTGTCTGTGTCAGTCTCTGTCTTCCCTACCTCCCCTGCCACACACACACACACACACACACACACACACACACACACACACACAC